TAGTCTATGCTATCGCTCGAAGATAAAGATAGCACTCACACGAATATACATATATATATATATATACAATATATACAATATATAATATACATATATTATATATATTTGTTTGTTTGAGTTTATCTATATCTTCTGAGTTGCAGCATTTGTCTTCGCTTCCAGTTAGCTCTTCTGCTCGGCATCATCTTTGTGTTGAAGCTGCCTCGTTTATTTAAACCTCTACTCTTTCTGCCGGCAGCAGTTAAACCTCTGAGTTCTCTGTGCTTCATTTGAGGTTTAACAATCCACTGATATCTAGGATCGTTCCGAATAGCATTATGCTGAGGGTCTATAAGTATTACTTCATAATATTTATATACAGCGTCTTGACCCACCCAGTAGCTATTCAATACTCTTAAGCTGCTGCATACACTTCTACCTACACGAGCCTCAGCTATTTGACGCAAATTCATCACAGACTTCTGCTTATCAACACCCTGGTTCGTCGGCTTCCCATACACTATACCCTTCGCTACTCTTCTCTTTCTGTCGCCTCTACGCACTCTTACTCTATATATTACAAAACCCTGCTTCTTCTTGTATCCTAAACGACGAGCCTATACACATACAAACATCCACATTAACAATATATATATATCAATATATATAAATATATAAATATATATATGTATATTGTATGTATGTATATATGCACAATATATATACATATGTTTATGTACATATACATATATATATACATATTATATATATATAACATTGAGGCAAACAAACATAAATAAATAAATACAAAGGACGAAAACAAATATACAAAATAAATCAAACAAACAAATAAAAGCAGATAAAGTGCATAGAATGAAAACAAATTCAAATAAAGCAGCAAAACAACAATCACATGCATATATATAAATATATAAAGATATATATAGATGTCTATATATATTATTAATATATGTATTTATATTAATATTTCATATTTATATTTATATTTTATATTTATATTTTATATTTATATATTTATTTATTACACCGCATATATCAACGCTAAAGACCCCAAACAAAAAGCTAACAAAGCCAGAACAAAACAAACAAAACAAATAAAAAAATAAAAAAATAAATTAAATTAAATAAATTAAATTAAATAATTAAATTAAATGATTAATTAAATAATATTAACCTTATCAGGTCTTGAAGAGCGGCTGCATCTATGAACG